TGACTGTATAATGATTGAGCCTTTTAGCAAGTGATAAGATACAATCATCTCGCATCACTTCATTCTTTGGGATATTAAGTTGTTTGTTGCCGGTAATTTATTTCTACACGTTATCAGAATCCAAACATTAAAATTCAGATTCGCACGTTCCAATATGTTAATAAGAGCCTGAATTTGCAAACTGCGTTTCATAAACTAGTATTAATATGTCATAAATCTGCCACTTCGATGGTCACAGACATAAGCAAATAGATATACGGTAGTCTATTATTACTTAGACGTTTCCGCCAAATTCCAATAGCCCTCCTCAGCACAGAGAAACAAATATTATTTGCCTCAGAAGGACGAATGTAGTATGGCGGAAACACACAACGGCAATAACAAAGACTACCATCCATCTGTTTCTCTGTATCCAGAACTACTTCAGTAACAATTTATTCAAAAAGTAACATTAAACTGATTGAATTTCAGAAATCAATTCATAATCATAAAACTGTTTAATTTGAAATAAAGGTGTAAAATGAACAATACTTCGCACTAATAAAAAGGTCACATTCCCACTGGTTACCGAAAAAGAATAAAAACAGCGTGGCACGAAAAGAACTATCAAAAGAGGAGGGCAAAAGAAGCACTGATTAAAAAGGCATGCACAAAATAACAGAAAATACGTATGAGGACAAACTTAGATGAGACGAAAGTTGACTCTGCCTCTTTAAATCTGATCAAACAAACACAAAACTGATTACATACTTCGAATTCACAACGAAAATCATAACAGCTGACACTGTTTAACGCTTTTCATAAATTGTTCGCCTGACACGGTCTCTGAAGATGACAGATTTGATATTAAGTTAAACATGTGGCAACTTGCACATAGTACCACTGTGCGGCGTAAGTCTATTAAGGACTATGCCAATGAAGACTTTTATAATGACAATGTACACTTACATTCATAAATAAGTAATTTTTTAAAACAATTAATAATTCATATAACTAACGTTCAGTCATAGTAGCTGAGAATTTCAGTCGACGTCTCTGTTACACTTTCCCGATGGGAC